CAAGCACCAAAACTACACAGAGAAACCCTGTCTCGAAAAACAAAACAAAAAAATCAAAACAAAACAAAAATTTTAGCCGGGCAGTGATGGCGCATGCCTTTAATCCCAGCACCCGGGAGGCAGAGGCAGGAGGATCTTTGTGAGTTTGAGGCCAGCCTGGTCTACAGAGCGAGATCCAGGAAAGGCACAAAGCTACACAGAGAAACCCTGTCTTGAAAAACCAAAAAATAAAAAAATAAAAATAAAAATAAAATAAAAAATAAAAAACAGAGTTATAATTCTTACCCATTAACCCCAGAACCCATTTTTAAGAATCTAGAGGCATATGACAACCTGTTCTCAGGCTAGTAGCTTTGGTTGCTTCAAGGACACTAGACCAAAACAAAATCTTAAAGTCACCCTGGGCATTTTGCCATGTCTCAAGCATGTATTATTAACTCTTAATGGCCAGAGTGGCCAAGAAAAATCCTCAGGCAAAAGCTGATGCAGTTATTCAAATTCTGGCATAATATATTCTTCACATTTATATCTTTATAGAATTTGTCTATAAGTCTAATCTTAGCATTCTGTTGTTCCTTGGTCTTATGACATTATAGTGGCTCTGCATGAGCTAATTTTTACGAGAGGGAGGTCCAGGCACCTCATACTTTTATCATCTTTCCACTCCATACTTTGCTCATTAATATGTCTCTGTGCAGGGCAGAGCTATATGTTATGTAATTATCTGAGTGTGTAGTGGGGAGATGCTTGTAATCTGATTTGTGGCCAACTCCTCCAGCGCACCGAATCTTGTTGATCTTTTTAAGTTAACTTGTGTTGAATATCTTATTTCTGTGTAAGGACAGGACAGATGTTTCAAGAATGTCTCATAGTCTCATGAACAGACTTTTGGCTTTTTTTGTGTGTCACAACCTCCAAGGTTTAAGAAAGACCTTCAGGTAGATAAGGGTATCTCCCTAAAAGTGGGGAAAATAGTATGTTCAGAACTTCCTGGGGAAGCTTAGAAGCAGTATTCCAGGGAAAAGGCATAAATGATTCATAAGAATTTTTCCATCAATCCAATATCCTCATACTGTACAAATATTAAGTGCCCCAAGTATGCAACAAGTGGAGATGAAAACCAAAAGTGGCGTGGCAGCCATCATGAGGCTCAGCTTTTCTGGATCTTTGTCAAGCAGCTGTGCTGACTTTATAATTTCTGCCATTCCATCCAGATATGACTGTGCCACTTTTTAAATCACATTTTTAATTCTTGAGAATCCCATACATGTATACAATGAAATATGATCATATCTGTCCCCATTTCAACCCCTACTCTTTTTGCAACTACCAAATATTCCAATCCCCAACTTTATGGTCTTTTTGATAACCTCAGTTCAATAAGTACTGCCAATGTGCTCATGGGTATGAGACCCTCCAATAGCAGGCCAGTTTGAAAGTTTGCAGAATGAACACTGCATCCCTAACACCAGCAGGCATTTTTTTTAATTTCCATATTTCTTATAGGTCCTTTGACACATCTAGCTACAGATTCTTGGCTGCAATAATGTCCCATATAGGTTCCATAACATGGACTTTAATTTTGAACAAAATGTGGTGAATTAAACCCATAACACTAATGCCACTGCTGCATCTGTGGTAGGTGGTATTTTGCCAGTTCCATAATTACTGTAAGTCATCAGGTTCACTGGTGGGTAAGATTGGTGATTACTTTTCTTCACTGGTAGTGAGCTTCTTCTTACAGTATATAACAATTAACACAAAGACACACAACTGGTCATGATTCAGAGAAGAAGACCCTGTAGAGTATTCAGCTCTAAGTGTGTCATCTGAATCCTACCACTCTTCCCAAGGCTAAGAAATCATCTCAGAAGGTGAGCTAGAAAGACTGTAAGACTCAGAAATGATAGATGACTAAAAAGAACTGTTTTCTGGATATAGCAGGAGAGTTGTATGTGAACTAATAGATTGTGACAATACTCATGAGGTCTGTACAAGCTCAAGCCAGACAAAATCCCAGCATAGAAGGTAAAGATAACCAGAAAGCGCCACCCTAGATAAAGAACTACTGGCAATTAATAGCTGCTGGGAGAAAAAGAGTCTATTTTCTTTAAGGGTTTAACTATAGTGTGTTGACCATATTCCATGGCAAGCCCCACACCAAAAGTATTCGGACAGCAGAAAAAATATTTTGGTTTTCAAAGATAGCACAAACTTGGGTGGGTAATGAAATAGGGGTTGATCTTGGAGATGATGGAGAAGGATGTGAATATGATCAAAATACATTGCATGAAATTCTCAAAAATTACTTAAATATTATTTTAAAGAAATGAATCATGACAGAAGAACTTTATTTTGAGTCATTCCTGAGTCCGAATAAGATGGTTCAATTTCAGTTAGTGGGGAAATCATTCTTGCCCATAAGATAGCATATCTTATATTTATCTACCCTTATCTTACTGGCTCTGTATCTATTTTGTCTCCATATCTGTAATGATCTTCAAAGCAGAGACTAAGTCTAACTCATCTCTCTGTAGTAACTGGGAAAATATGGAAGTATAAAAATAAATTATGGGCTCAGCAGGTGCTTTCTGCCAATGCTGATAACATAAATTCATTCCTGGGGACACACATGATAGAAAGAGAAAACAACTTTCCAAATAGTCCTGTGAACTCTGCTTGTGTACTATGGAACATGAATGCCCTGTCCCCACATGAAACAAACAAAAACATAATAAAATAGCAGAAATCAAACATGTCAGAGCCACAGGATCATTTTTGTCATTACAATACCCCTCTTTTAGCAAGCCTTTGTACATTTGCTCTGTCAGTGACTCCCCATGACAACAGAAAATATTCCATTCCCATTTTATATTTAAGGAGTATAAAACTTAGGGACTTTGTTCAAGAATGCACAGTCAATCTAGATAAAAGCCACGATTCCCAAGGAAGGTGAACTCCAGAGTTCCTGTTTATAAGCAATCACTTATAAATGTTTTATCTGAGATTTGACTAAAATTCATAGAAAATGATAGAGCTTCTAATTGTTGGAAAGGCCAAGGAGAGTAAAGTGAGAACTCCCCTTTGGCCCCTGGACAAGAAAGAGTAAGACTATTGAGTTTAGAGACATAATTACTCACCAAACACCTAAAATATCTCAAATCGTGTGAAATTTCAGCTACTTTCTCTATGGACTAGCATTGGTTTCCGTTTCAATATTACATCTAGAGTCAAAGGTGAAGTGAAAAGAAAATAACCATTTTAGTCTGTTCAAAGTGAATATATTTCTCACAGATCATCAGATGTATGATTAAAGTGAAGAAGCATCCTCACAAAGCAAAAATGCTACATGTTTGTCATGATGGTAGTGCCTAAAGAAGTATAGCAATCACTGAGTACTCAAAAATACCCCAAAAGTTCTTAGTATATGTGCATAGCCCAGAATGATGCAAGAAAATAAGAGGAAAAGCACAAAAGACAGTGGAATGAATACATTCCAAAAAAGTGATGCATCTGACCTCATTTGGAGAAGCCTGCAGTGACTCACAATTAGTCCACAGGGAGTATGAAAGTATACTACAGTAACAATGCCAGATTGTCTTTTACAGTATGTATGCCAGATTGCTGATTTTCTCTTATTCATCATCATTGAAATTAGACATTATTGGTCTAAACGTTTTGTCATTTGTTGAGATAAATGTATTATTTCAGCTAAAGAGAGATATTCGCACAAAACTAAAATTTGCAAAAACTATAAATTAAAATTTTTATTACTACACAGTAAATTGTAGGGGAATGTCACATCAAAGAATATATTTTGCATAAAGTAACAACCAAATTTGGAAACACTTGTAAGTATAAAATGATTTATGGATATAATATTATAGTTAGTGACAAACACATACTCCAGCTTCAAGACATCATGATCCACTAATAATCTTGTATTTCAAGAGCCAGAAAACATTTAAAGTGTATCCTGATGAATATGATTGGTAAGATAGAGAGGAAACAAAGCATTTTAGAAACTGCGAGGCAGTTTCATATTGCTAAAACACAATATAGAAGAGTTGTAGTGCAGACAACATGTGACAAATAGCATGGCTGACCAGATCTAGGTGAATAGAGGTCCTGTGAAGACTGTTTATGCCAAATTAATGAGTCAGTGTTTTATTCACAGGAAAATAATGTTACAGAACTAAAGTTATTATATTTTACAAAAATAACACTAGATGAAAGATAATTGGGAATACAGTAAAGACAATCATTGGTGAAAACTGAAATTATTCTCGGAAATATCTATTTCAGAGTATAATGTAGAAAACTAAAACCTTAAGTATAAGGATGGCTATAAATAGACACATAAGAGATACAATATATTTGAATTCTTTTTAGGCAAATGAAGAAGTCTACATTTAAATTAAATTAAATTTTTTTGAGGTTAGAAAACTTGTATTCTAAATTTATAAAAGAAGAAATAATTCACCAATTGTGACGTGAAGTTAATGTGTATGAATGACTCCAAAAATTAACTCAAAAGTTAAATATTTTCCTTAAGGTAAGCATGAAAATTGATTTCAAATCAATTAAATATGATTTCCATATTAAACATAGGGAAAGAGTCTATTAAATATATCAATATCAACTTCCAAATAGAAATAATAAATTAAAATGAAGGGATTTTTTGTTATATTAAAATACACTGCTCTAAGTACCATAACTCTTACAAATATACAGGAGGCAGATAGAATTAAAGATATATATTTTACACTTTGTATCCACTTAATTAGATGAACAAAACAGCTTTCACATTATGTGCAGTTTTAGAGAATGATGTAATATAGAAACATAATGTCTCAGTAACTCAGTCCATTAGTAATAATGTGCTTGTATTTTATATTAATATATTTTCTGTCTTTCTACCCATGGAAACTATTTGAATGATTTTAGAGTTTCTTGAAAAGTGAGATATAGCCTTTCAGGACAATTAAAATGCTACCTACCCTTGCCGTTCCTTGTACATTCTATTAACTTTTTCCCACTGGAAATCCAGCTGTGACACTGCTTCCTGTAGCTTCACCCTTTCCACAGAGGTGGCACTTTGCAAGGCTGCTGTCTTCTTCTTGTGAATAACATCAATCCGACCTGAGATTTGTTTCAGATTGTCTTTTATATTCTGTAATAATGAAAAATATGTATCATAAAAAATAAATCAGCTTTCTCTAGAAAGTAAAAAAGGAGACATAGTCCTAGAAGAAATAGTTTTGCAATTCTAAATCACTGACTTTACTCATATTAATCTTTATTTCCTATAGTTGAATATGCCTAAATCAAATGAGTGAGTCATTGTCTTTATCCCAGTATAATTGATTTCACCCTACAGCTTAAAATTGCCTTCATTTGATTTAAGATATTTTGGATTTTCTATTTTCATGTCCACAGATTCACTGTCTCCTCTCTGTATCCTTATCTTATGTCAATACTAGAGTGTACTTGTTGGTGTTTTCATAAATTTCCATTTGTGCCCAAATTACTTTCCATTAGTACTTATGACTTACAATATCTTGTAAAAGATACTAATATTCAAACTCAGATTTTTATCCAAGGCATGTGCTCTGAAATCTAGACAGAACTTAATTTGTTGGCAGTATGCTGCCTCAGTAGCATCCCTTCTTGACAGGTCAGCTCTAGTTCCTGGGGGTTTGATGCTGACTTCCTGCCTCTGGAGGCTTCTTCATACATATGGTGCACATACACTCATTAAAGCACACACATACACACATAAATTAATAAAAAAAACTGATTTTAAAATCAAAACTTTAAATGCAGTTGTCCTGGTCAATCACTTGGTCAAGTGACTACCTCTCAGGAAGACAGATCTTTAAGATATGCTTAAAGAGATAGGAGAAATAATTATCTTTTTCAAGAGATAACATAGTTATCTTTCCTAGAATCCATGTTCTTCAACACAGCCACTCCATATCCACTCTAAGGTTTAGTTGTGTCTGTCTACTTTTCTCAGTCCTGATTCAGAAAGGCACAACATTTCATTTTGCTTCTCTTCTGTCTTTTTCTGTTGAATGCTGACCAGAGCCCAAGTATACTTACTCTAGAACTTTGGTCATTTTCACTCTTTCTCTAATGTTTTCTAGAAGTTTGGAGAAGGACTGATGTCTCATTTGGTCATGAAGAACGTGAAATGTGGGGTGGTAGTCAAGTAGCAGAAGCAGGAAAGGCATTATAGGCCATATGTAACATTTAGAAAAAGAGGTAACAAACAGAAGCAACTGATTTTATAAAATATAAAGAACTGTGGGAAAATGGCCTGTGGTAGAGAGCTTAGAGGCATATAATAATGGGCTTTGAATCTCAATCTGAAAACTGTGTTTAATTCAGTAGCTAAGAGTGAAGTGTGACTTTGTAAATTATGAATTATGAAAATTAAGCTGTACAACCTGGTAAGAATATAGATCATGTAAATTATAAGCAAATGTTCTAAATGGAGCTCTAAAATTAAAATGAAATCAACTTTTGCTTATAGTCTTATATATCCGCTCAAAGTTGTATAGAATATATCATGAGTGGTATGAATTCGTTTTAAGTTAGGGTTTTCTTAGTAATGATAAGCTATTCTCTTCAACTCCATATGTACCCTATGATGGGAAATTTACTTATTTGTTCAACACCTCAACTGAACTCTGAGGTAAAAGGCCATATCTGACACATGAGGTACTGACATATGAGGGAAAGGAGGGCGTGATAACACAGAAATAGCCTGTGAATTTACTCATCTTTAAAATTCACACCAAAACTCTCTTCCACAACTTTTACTTACAGAAATGGTAATCACAGAAATAAGCTGTGTTTTAATTGCATAAGAGATGGTTACATGGCTAGAGGAAGATTTTAAGAGAACACATGCAAGGTTGCATGAGGATGGATCCCTTTAGGAGTAAAGCTGGAATGAGGAGATCAGTTTGCCCAAAGATTAGTTCTGATAATATCTCATTAAAGGCACTGTTATCTCTTTCAGTAAAAATGGAATATTTAGTTGGATTTATTTGTCACGAGGTGTGTATTTATTGGCTAAAAGTTTATATTTTATAAAAACGAAGTTGACAATATAACAGAAGTTATAAAAAACATTTTAAGAGGATAGAGTGGATTTATTATCTACTATAAACCCTAAAAAAATCACTATACCCAATGTGTCTCTGACAGTCTTTGTCAGTTTCAACAGAACCTCTATGTTTGTGGCTCTGAGCCTTCAGTATGTTTAGAGATGCTGCAATAACCTGACTATGTCATGTGCCAGGAATTTACACCAACATGATTTCACTGCTGCTTCTGCAAATTTCTCTGACCTGAACAACTTGAATTCAACAGCACTTACCAGATGCAACTTCTGATTCTACAAGTCATTGATATCTTTTTCACTTAGCTATTGAGCCATCAACAAGAATCAAAAGTCTGGTAAGCTTTCTATTACTTTTTAAAAGAAAGTTGATTCTTTGAATTCACATTAGACAATTGATCACACTTGCCTATATTATGGTAGCCCAAATGCTTAAAGCACATAGCTCTAAGCACCTATAAAGGCTAAATTCAAATAAGAATAAAAGGATCTTACACACCAGCATACAAAATTATCTGGTTCTGGTTTAATGTGATGTGTAAGCTTGTATGTGTACTCCTAATCACATGAGTGCATGTGTGCAAGCAAGCACAACCACACACGATAAATACATTATCTGGGGATTTGAGCTTGAAAATTTCTTGATATAGCCTAACTTTCAGTTCTCCGGAAAATAGTATGAATGCTTAGAAGCAAGTTGTGAACTATCCTAGTCTTCAAAGGCAGTAAAACGTTCTAAAATGAGAAAAGCAGAAACTGGGACAGGGATGTCACACTACCTGGATATCAGATAATCGGTTCTTCCTGAATTCCCAGAGAAAAGTGAAAAAATTGGCTGAAGTCAAGAGAATATTTTTCAAAGTCCCTAAACATAATATCATCCCCTAGGCATGCCATACACAAAAGTTATATTAGCACCAAAGATAAAATTAACATTCTCTGGAGTTTACACTAAAATACAAATCCTCTTATAGTTTTGATAATTTTAGTTAGTCTAGAAATAAGTGATCTTTATAGTTTTTTACCCCAACCCCCCCCCAAAAAAAATGAAACCATAGTGTCTATAGTTGCTATGGTGAAGGAAAATCCCTTGGAAAATTTATGTTTTTGCTTCCTGAATAGTTTCTTACCTTATCTGAAATTATGATGACAAAATTATAAAGTACTCAGTTTTTTTTCAACACCCTTTTTAATTTTGACAGGTACTGAAAAGTTGACTCCCTCATTTCCAGATTATAAATGATGTATGTTTTTAAGTCACTCTACTTGTAAGTGAAGATTTTAAAAATAAAATGTAAAAGGAAAATCAAATTTCTAGAAGGTACTTGTTCATGAATTAAATAATCCACATGTTTAATAATTAATATTGTGAACTATTAGACATTGTTTCAAGTCTGTTTCACAGTATTATATAAGTTCAACAATACTCTAATGAATATATTATGAAGATATAAAAATATACAGTGAAATAAATTTTATAGAAAGAAGACAAAATACAGGTAATAAAGTAAAAAATTTGAATTTATGTGCCACTCTGCTGTGGTTATCTGTTAAACCACATTTAACAGAATCATTAATGGCATGGACATAATAATATAGGCCTTGATTTTGAGGTATGTAATACTTTAAAAATGAATATTTCAGAAAAAATACATTTCAAAGAACTGTACACAGATATTATAAGACTGAAGTACATTGCTTAGTCAAGCTTATGGAATATGCATCCTTGTAGGCTAAAAAGGGAGATAAACAGGAGATTGCAGATACTATATCTATTAACCTAAACAACGAATTTATTTGCCAGCAAATTATGTTAAAAACAAAGGTCTCCAGCAACTCTTCATTTAACCATTTTATGTTCTTTCTGACAATAGGTGGATCTCTATAGTTTAGTATTTCTGCCACTTAATGTATAGTAACACTAATTTTCTTTCTGTAAGAGTGTTTGACTAGAGTGTCTGCTTCTTCCACACTGTATGGCAAAGTTATTCATATGAATGTAAGAGGATACTATGGAAACATAACCAAAAGCAGGGGATAATAGCACCTGTTACATTGAACTTACTCTTGATTCTGATGAAAAAATCTTTAAAACAAATTGCCTGAATATTTAAATGATTTTTCCTTACCTACAGCACAGTTTTCTACCTGGAATATCATGAAATATCCTAGTATTTCTTACATTTTAAGTAATCTAATTTCTGTTCCCCTTTCCCCATAGTCATGAAAATAAATGGCCAGCTCCCTGATCCAAAATATGAAATGTAGTTTAGCCAACAATGAAGCTTCAGCACTCAATTAATAAAAGGCTATTGCCGAAAATTCATAGGCATCTTCATTCTTTTGTTTTCTACTATCAATTAGACTGTAAAACACATTTCTGAGGTATTTATTATCATATGAAGATTTTAAAAGAGCCAATTGTATATAAAACATAAATCTAATTACTAAAGTTTGCTTTTAACAATAAAATATTTACTTATAAAAATTTTAGTTCTCGCCGGGCGTTGGTGGCTCACGCCTTTAATCCCAGCACCCGGGAGGCAGAGGCAGGCGGATCTCTGTGAGTTCGAGGCCAGCCTGGGCTACCAAGTGAGCTCCAGGAAAGGCGCAAAGCTACACAGAGAAACCCTGTCT